GGGGGGGGGGGGGGGGAGGACGAAAAAAAGAGGGACGTTCGCGCGCGGGCGCGGTGATGCACTCTTCGCCCGGAGCGTCGTGCTTCGATTCGGGTCAATTTTGTCGGAATGAGCCGGCAGCCGATCGACCAGCGATTCACACCGTTCCGGACGCGCGTATCTCTTTTATTAGGGCCACAAAGGTAATCATCGATTTACCACATTTGTAAACGATTGACCGGCGGCAAAAAATACGCTGAAAAATACACGGCCAATGGAACGGCCGCGGAGAGACCGACGTGTTTCCTGTAATTTGCGGGACGTTATAACGCGTCGCGCGGCCCCGCCGTTTTTGTAACCCGCTGGACCGGCTGGTGCATTTGTTTTGCCACGGTCTCACGGATGAAATATCAGCGTTTAAGATATCGGAAAGCATCGCGTACGCGACTCACACACCGACGGAAACAACGGAGGTGGTAATCCGCATGCTCGTGACTAAGACCGCGGAGATAATCGATGATTAATCGCGTAATTACGCGTTGTTATTAATCGACGACGCACGACACATTGCGATACAGTCCATGATTACGGGCGTGAACCCCACGGGGTCGCCTAAAAACGAGACACGTTGATACACCGAGAGCCGGAAGTTATCAAGCTCGCTTAAAAATTGTAGTCATATACGCCGCCAACTATATCTTTCCGTGGCTCTAACAAAAAAGCAACAGCAGCAATATGCATACAACGTGGTTATTACCAACTGGTTATTGCAGCGTTCACTGCGAGAATAGCGACAATTATTTTACAGTGCAATCGCGGCCACAAGTACCAAATACTTTTTCCTCAGCGTGTGGTGTAACGTACGTGCGCGCTCGCATAGAAATTTTCCCCGATTTCGCCATACATATCCAAACATAGGACGTCTCGTTTCCACGATGGTGATTAGCTGTGCGTTAGAGCTGACATCGCCCGGATCGAATAACATTTTAATCGAGTGTCAAATTTGGAAGTTAATAAAGGAGGTTATTTTTAAAGGGTTATTCAAGAGTTACGCCACACCATGGAGAGGGATTTATTAGCTTGCACGACGGCTGTGATAGTAAGGTAAGAGGGAGGGAGGGGGTAAAAGCCATGGAACGTTACATTAAGCCTTCGGCAGACGGTACTAGATTTTCGTGCTGGATCTAAAGAAATTTAATAATATAACGTGTAGTAGGGGAGAGTTTTCATGTAGCGTAATATTGGAAGGGGGTCCAAATACTTTGTGTATAAAATGTGACGAAGGGATGGGGAGGAGATAAAAATACTCAACTTTTGTAACGTAATTGTGGAATGGCTCCCTGATGTTACCATTGTTTAATAGCACGCGCGTAGTATGTGTGTGCACTTGTGAAATATAAATATTTAAAGTGTTTTGTATATTTTATTCAATCGTAGTATAAAATGGAAACCGGAAAAAAATGTCTGGCAAAATGCCGGAGCAAATGGAATCTGTGTTGGTATTTCACTTAGAATCGTATGTTTGAAACATTACACTTTCAAGCAGACCAATCTACATAGATTCGCTAGCCAGAGTCCACAATTATATCAGGAAATCGAATTGAATTCCAAATAGATAGCAAGAAATTTTCCGTGCGGGCGGTAACGTGTAGAGCGACACGCCGTCAACGGCGAGCTCGTGGAAATTGAAACTCCTTCCAACAATGCGGCGGCAATTGCGTTAGAAACGTAAACGTTTTCGATCGGACTGCGACGCGATTTTTGAGAATGCGCCGCGGCGCCCGTCGCGCCGTGACGCCCGCCACGTAACGATTCATGCGTCGCGAATGCGAGAGCAACGAGAATAATCAAATGCGCGTTAGCCGCACGCCGTCGCGCCGTCACGCCGCACGCAATACAAATCCCGCGGGCGGAGAGGGAATTACAATGCATATAATACGCGACATTTGACTAGCTCCGCGGTATAACTACGTCATTGTAAGCGACAAACATTTCGGCGCATACAAACGCGGCCTAGTTAACGCGAGGGCGCGATGTTTTGTTATGCACGTCGCCCGGCTTCGCGTCTGGAAATATTCGAGTCATAAGTTCGCCCGATACCACCATTGTTGGTCAACGGGGCGAGGGAGCTCCCGGGGCAAAATCTCGCCGCGATGGGAACGCTTCAGCTCGCCCGCCTAGACTTATTCAATTTCGGGGAAAACGTCCGGGGGATTAATGTCGGACGATTAGCGTGGTAATGGCCGCTCGCGGACTTGTTACGGAAAAAGAGAGATGTTCGTCTGCCTCCAGCACCGTCCTTTAATCCGCAAATAATTCGCGAATGCACTCGGGTAATGGGCAGCCTGTACCATAGCCTCCTGTCGTAACGCCTGTCGTAATCATAACCCACCACTTACCGCACGCGTTCGGAAATTATCGAGAATGGCCATTATGAGCGAAACGCGAGGAAGAGTCCGCGTGCTTTTATCGTCGCTGGATACCCCGCCGAATGGTACTCGGCCTAATTGCATAAGTGGGCCTCCGAATATCGACCGGGCGCCGCGAGCCGAGCGTTGCACGACACGTAAAAGGGTAAAAGAAATAAACGCGAAGGGGGCAACGAACACGCGGGGGTAGAGAGGGCTTCCGTACGCGGGCGAGAAAGAACTGAAGAGAGAGGGAGAGAGAAAGAGAGAGAAGAGAAAACGAACGAACGAGACGGCCAATGTCGGACGATGGAGTCAGGCTGGAGTCAAGCCGGGCGTACGCGGGAGGGAAAGGACAGGTAAAAAGAGGCAAGGCAAACCGGAAAAGACGTCGAACGACTCGAAGAAATTGCTCTTAACGATCTTCGATTTTCTCGTTAGGCGAAATCGTTCCTAGAAGCGCCCTACGCGGCGTCGCTACGCCTCCTGCATTTACCGTCGAGCCATCCACCTGTATAGCTCACTACCACCCCTCCGCCAACTATCAGTTTTCTTTCTATCAACGACCACCCCCCGACGACTCGCTCTTTCTCTATCTCTCTTTGTCGTTTCTCATTTTTCTCCTTCTTTCTTCTGCAGCCTCTCCTCCCTCGCTTGCCTTCGCCGTCGCGCGACTTCTCGAATTATCCCTTCCTTCCAGTTCCTGCTTCTTTAACCCGGTCGCGGCCTTAACTCGGTCATGGCGTCGTCAATCCCGCCAATCTGACTCAGCCAGCTTTAATACATATTAACTGAACGCGGGACGAGTTGAACCTCGTCGTCTTTGGATTTCTTCGTGATTTCAATGTTGCACTTTTTATATTATTAGAGCGTTTGTAAGACAAAGAGAAAGTAAGGGTAAAAGAGAGAGAGAGAGAGAGAGAGTGAGTGAAATTAAATCGTGCACGCATTTATTATGTGCGGAACGAATGTGTTTGTCGTTATTAATTTGCAACTGCACAGAGACGAACTCTCAAACAAGGTATAATTCGATGAAAAAGTTACGAACGCTCTTTCATCGTAATGAGTCCCATCAGATATTTAACAAGTTTTACGTGCGCGTCCTAGACTGTCGATACAAAAATCAATTATGAAGCCCGGGATTTGACGTAATCACCGACCAGTAATTTTTTGTATAGTCGATTCTATTCGTGATGCGGTGCACGCTCTTTAAAAAAAAACGAGACCGACAAATCGCGCAAGTATTGCTGTTGTTTCTCCGCGATATCGGCCCGCTGGTTAATCGTTCATCCGGTACAAATTTAATCAGGCATCGACGATAAATTATTTAACAGCAACTTGGCTGGCTGCGCACAACGATTAAATTCACACCGAGAACATAATTGATTAAAGCCGAATAAAAAAATACTGCGCATAAAATGAAACAAAATGATAAAACGATGACAATGGACGAGGAAATGAAATAGAATTTCAATGCAAATCTATCTGGATTTTATTACGCGCGTTTTCACGTATGTGTAGTATTTTTTTGCCTATTCTATTTTTTTACAAAAATCACGGAAAATGTGTAGAAAGAACGTCGACTCGAGACGAGTAGCGGCCATCATATAGGTCTTCTCCTTCGGAGCGTTTCGCCCGGAAAGCGCGCGGAGAAACAACGCTATACGCGTAATTTTATTCTTTACAGAAAGAATACCGAAACACAGTGAGTGTGGGGCCGACAATAGCTCCGGCTGGGTTATGTCATATCGGCGGCTGATGTTGTATTTCTCTTTATATTTCCGGAATGAGTTGAATGCCGTTCCTTTCGAAGCGTGCGATAGAAATACCGCGCACGTTCATTCGTGCCCGGCAAAAAGAGAAAGACCGTAGAATAACTCTGAAAAACTGTATCGAGTGGTTAGACGATTTTCAGTGGCTCAATAGGACCCCTCGAGTTATGTCATATGGATGACTGGTATTGTCTGCATGTTTACATCGCCTGAATGGCGGCTACATTGTTTCGCTTTGCATGCGATGTATGACGGTCAAGTTGTCACACACCCGTGATTCCGCTATTTTCTGACGTAGCGAAAACGCCGCGAACTCCATTTTCGTTTTTCATCGCGGACCGGCGAACCAGTCGTTTACCGTTCTATCGGATTATGACATTTTTGCCGCGGCCGCGATATATTTAATGCGCCTAGAAAGGAACGGCGCCATATTATCCTAGCTCGTTGAAATTCGAGAATCCATTATAATGCGAGAATAATTACGTCGCTCTGAGGGACAGCGATCTCGCAAACGACACATTGACCGCGTGCACCACAATCGACCGCATAAACAATATAGATGATATTAATTAATTATTCAGATAAAATACGATCCGTCCCCGATCAATATTTTACTACCGCGTAAAATTTTAATGCTTCTTAATATTCTGTACCGCGTCCAAAATATGCATAATATGCATCATATATTTTATATGTATCGATTTCACGATGCACATGACGAATTTATACAAATACACGGGATGATTTTAAAGTACGGAAATTATCTCCGAAATAATTGGTTAAGTGGAGGTACTCATTAAAATCTTTTAAGGTCATTTTGACAGGTTATTCCAACGTAATTTCAAACTCACAGAGAGACGTTGCTATCTGATATAATTTTTGCAAGTTTCGTCGCAAATATCTTCCCATGAAACCAATTATTTCGGAGATAATTGGCCGGACTTTTAAACCACCCCCGTATAAAAACGCATATCCGCCGTAGTGAAAACGGCAGGTAATGATGGAATTCGCCATACATGGTGCACAATACCGACTTTGCAAAATCGACTTTTTATCGACAGTAACTTTTATCCATACTTTCCCGTTAAAATTCTGACGTTGAGGGTCGAGCCGGCACAGGGGAGCTATGGGCGTTAAGAATGCACAGCAGAACGGTGTAAGAATAAAGACGACGTTTGCGTAGTCGTTCATCTCGTTACGAGATATATCTGAAAGTTACACGTTTCCAGCTAAACTACCGCTGTTCCGAAGGAAACTAGCTTACCGAGTTACCTCAAGCACTCGTGCACCACGAAAGGTGACAACGATCCTGATATTGGAGGATCAAGCCGCCACTCGCGAGGGGAAATCCATTTCTCGATAAATAATAATCCGTTAACGCGGTCAGACAGATACGCGTCGACTTGGCCTCCCCGGGTGAAAGAGAATCCACTTTATTCCTCGAAATTATTAATAAATTCTCGCTCGGAAGGAGACTGCGTGCGAACGAAATTTTTCCATCCATCGTGTCGCGGAATGATCTCCGCTTCCGTCCGTCGGCCGATCGAAATAACTCAATGTCATGATTAACAATGCACTGTCACTCGTGCTAAAACCGCAATCTTTCTTCCGCGAGACGGGAAGTCAATTGTCAGCGAAGGAAACGGGAGAGGGAAATATTCGTAGGACTGCAACGACGGCGTGGGGAAATTGCGCGCTTTCGATGCGGGACGAGAAGCAACGCGCGCTCGCGCGATAATCCTCTGCTGAGTGGTAAAGAGATAGATTACCGGGTAATTCCAAGCAACATCGCGATAAGCCGCGAACTGTCGGTTCTCGGATATGATATTCGATGACGCGACATTCCCCGCTGGAGGAATGAAAGAAGCTCTCCCCTTAAGATTTTTTATCCTTTTATGTTTCAGTTCAAGGCCACGCCACCCTCACGACACCCTCGCTATGTCTGCTGGTGGCTACGCTGCTGCAACTGTTCCTCCTGCCACCGGTGTAGGTCTCGCCGACGCGACCACGTCGTCGGGAGGACTCTGGCAGAGNGGGGGGGGGGGAGAACAGGGGGGAAGACGGACCACGACGGAGGGAAACGAGAGACTTTCGACGGACGTTTCGTAACGAAAGACAATCATACCTTAATATGGAGCGAACCGCCACGGCAAATCGGGGGACGAGCCCGTCGGTCGTTAATGGCGCCGGTGGCAGCACGTCTCAGCGATTTGCGCGGCGAAGGAAGGAACGAACGAACGAACGAGCGAACGAACGAACGGACATCGATCTCGCCGTTGATCTCGATGACACTTCTCCCCCCGCTTCCCCGGCACGCGTAATCCTAGATAGTTTAATTAACCGCGGAGAGAAATACGCGATAAAAGCAAGAATCTAATAAGAAAAGAAAAAGGGAAACACGGACAAAGTTCTCGCATGTACGAGGAACTCTTCCTCGGCGCTCGTCGATTCCGCCGGAGTCGATATCCGCGTCGTTACCCGTGAAATAAATTCGAATCGGTGCGCTCGGTGGTTCAAACTCCCAGCGACGCGAGGGACGAACTTTTCCAACTTTGCATCTTAGTGATATACTTAGAGAATGAACTGATTATACTAATTATAGCCGCTCGGTTATTACGGAAAGTTGGGTCGTTATAAAAAGGGACTTTGCGCGCGCGCACAAATGCGAAATTATCGTATATTCGCAAGCAGATTTAGGATTAAACGCCATTAACAAATCATGATAATGGGATTTAATCTCACCGAGCCTGAAATTAAATTATTATTCCATTAGCAGATATTCATCGAAAATCAGTAGAAAAAAACACACGAAGCAACGATCCCCGTTTTCTTCGGGAGTTTGAACCCCGCGAGCCTCCATCTTCCACATGTCGCGTTCCGTTGATAATTCAATGAAAGAAAAAGAAAAAAGGTAGAACATACGGGACGACCGGAGTCGGTGGTATGAAAAATGTGATTTTTCGCCGAAGTGAGAGAAAACGAGTAAGTACCTCATCGTGTCGTCATCGAAGATAAGCTTAAGCCGACGATGACACGATCCTCTGTCGTCGCATCTATCCGCGCGAGTAGAAAATCCGAGAATAAAAACACAAAAGTTCTACGATGTATACGATCGTCCGCGGAGGAGAATGTCACGGAGAATTAGCTTTAAAAGGCGGGAGAGAACAATTTCCCGCGCAAGACTAACAATCACTTCGCGCGATTCCTCCTCGCAAACATGAGTCCGCGAAATCGCGCAGCAGAGGTAGATCTGTTTGTCGCAAGCGTCGAGGTAGTCGTACCTCCGGGAACTCACTCACTCTCTCCCTCGACGTGATATCGTTATCGGTATGATAATGAGCGCGTGGTTGTCGCGAGAGACGCGATCATTACCGATCGCGCCGGCCGAAATGTAAATATATACACGATACTTAGGTAGGCACGTTTTCATCGAACCCCCGTCGTAAGCTTCCCTCGTTCTAATTATAACTTTTAATTGGTACGTGTGATTAATGTAAGAAACCGAGAAGAAATCCGAATATCCGATTGCACGGACGCCCCCATCTGCCCCCTCCCCCGCTCCCTTCTGAGTGCGTACGGTAATACGATATTACGCACGAACCCGCTGTACGGATTAGCGAGAGGAAGTTCTTGGTTATAACAGGGTAAGCGGTAATTCCGTGCAGTCCTATGCGAAGGATCCGGGATGAATCTACCACTGTCATCGTCCCGCTGTTTACCCTGCGATATTCGCGAGATCGTGCGAGCGCATTTAATACGAAACAAACACGAGAATCGTAGCGCGTGCGTGAATAGTGTTTATTTTTTTTATCGTATAAAACACACACCCACATTCACAGATGCACACATCTACACACACACGCACACACACANGAGAGAGAGAGAGAGAGAGAGAGAGAGAGAGAGAGAGAGAGAGACGTACGTAGACGCATACACGCGGAACGGCGGCAGCCATCAGCGATCGCGAACGATCGGAAAATATGATTCATACCCATAAGCCGATTAATTTGCAAAGTTCAACGTACACACGGCCGCTGCGTAGATATTCGTACGGGACTCCGTGGAAATGCGTTATTTTTCCCCCCCCCCCATTTTTTTTATTCGCTCTTTGTTTTTTTTTGTTTTTTGTTTTCCATACGAGATTAATAGTTGTTGCATTCCCACCCAAATGCGCAGCCTCGGTATACTTTTCACGCATGTGCTTTCCTCGCAACGCAGTTTTGTCGCGTGTCCGCGTGATATATGTGTGATAGAGAGTATCTCGCCGGGTTCTTCCGTTCGACATCAACGAAACCTCCTGTACTCGGTGAACATCGATGTCTCAACGAAGTGGGCTCGCGCCTGAGGACGGAAACGACGTTGCGTTGTTCGCCCTTTGTTACTCCCTTTCGTCGCATTTTTATCGACAGCAGCGCGCAGCAAACATGACCGTTAAGCTCTTCCAGTCTCACGCTTCCCGGCACAGAATCGATAACTTCCTACGTAACGGTGGTGAAATCTCGCGTTCATGGAGTTTGCTTGCGAGACGCACCGCGTTTGCACGAGACGTCTCGAGAACGTCGTGAAAAAAAAAAAAAGAGAGAAAAAGAAAGAAGTACGCGTGCAGCCGTTCGTTTATGGCAATTTCAGACCGCCGTAAATCGCTGCCCGGCGATTTACCGGCAAATCCGGTGCGGCGGAATGCGCGCTTTTCGGAGATACAATTCGAGACGGGTACGTAAAAAGGGAAGGAAAGAAAGAAAAGGAAAAAAAGGACACTCGCGCGATTTTCAGCGGAGTTATTACGACACGCGGGCGTGTGAAAAGTTCCGCGCGATCGGGAGGGGGTGTCTCTTTGACATGCAAAAGAGCCGTCGGAACTTTAAGGCGGAAGGTGAAGTTTCGAGCGCGAGTTTATCATTAATTCTCGCGACGTGCTGCGTCATGGCTTAAGAAGGCGGCACGTCATCGCCGGCGAGTACGTGAAGCTATGTGTCGCACACTTGTCGCGTGTATGTGTAATAACATGTCACCGAATATTGGTTTGCGCGTTCGCCACCTCTTTACGTGATCCTCAATTAACATCGGGACGATCGAGGGCTGGCGACTATCTGCGAGGATAATCCGACATTTTAATTATGACGAATGAGCATCGATTGCCAAGCCAGCGAGGGGCGATAGGCTCTCGACGAGAAATCGATTAAGTTTTGAAAAAAAAAAAAAAATATAACGGCCACACACTTGATTGAAAATATTTTGGGAACGAATGGAGGGTAACAAACGGTCAAACGCGATCATTCCGGCCCCGACAAATCGCGGATCGTTCTCACTTCTGGCTGATCATCGACCATTACGCGTGATTATACCGCAATGTTATGACGAATTTTGCGTTTCGTTCTCATTTGCCGTTCGTCGTCTTCGAAACGAGCTATTTTCTCGCGCTAGTCGACGTCTCGCGATATCCTGGATTCGGCGCGCAGGTCGGCGTAAGAGCCCGCAACGTTACAACCATAACGTCGTTATTCTCGAGCTCCGATTATCACACGCTTATCCCCCATACAGTTAATCGCCGCATGATTTAACCGCACTCGACG